TGTTACGGAGGTAGTGGTGCTGTTCTTGTTTTCCACTGAAAGGGGCCATGGAACCCACACGTGAGTATCTCGTCTTGGCTATACATTCTCTGAGAGTGCTGTTTGTCCATCTTTTAATATTGACTTCCCACTTGTATTGTTGTCTATCTCTTGCACTACTGCCCATGAACTTTCCCTCAAGCATGGTTGTTAAAATAGTGTTGTCTTTTAATGTTGCTCAAAATATATGAATTTTCTCTCTGTACTAGAAACGAAGCCTAAGTTCCAAGGAAAAAAAAAAAACAGAAAAAGAGTTTTTTAGGCGGGGACTAGAACTATAAATGTTCTAGCCCAGCCATGAGATCCATGAGATCTTATCAGCAGTACAAGCAAAACTATACACCATTAAATACCAGTCCTAACTCTAATCAAACAACTGGAACTATAATTATCGTATTCAACATCTTTTTATTTCACTGGAAAAAAAAAGGCTAAGTTCTCCACAAAAAATAATGCAATAAATTCACAACGTGTTCGAAAATACCCTACAACAGATGGAAACCTATCTCTGCCTACACACATTGACTCGTGTTGCGATAAACACCTGAAAGCAAGGGGAAAATCAGAACTACATGTTACTCGTCCGAACAGCAAGGCCTTAAAGAGCGAATTGGCAGCGAATAGATCTTTATTTTTTCAGACCCCATGTTGGTCAGGTTTTTGGTTAGCTTTGAGTTTAATCAAAATTTATATAACAGCTGCCCTGGGCCTGTCACATTTCTTTTTTTTTTTTTTTTTCAAATAACTGTGATTATCTTCTCATTTGTAGTCTTTCAATAGTAGATCAGAATACAATGCATTTCCAAATGAAACCTGTCCCCTATGAAAGATATATTAACAGGCTTGGTCTGCACAACCGCTGGTATTAACTGTTAAAAGAAAGCGAAGGTGGTAATATATTGGGTACATCACGAAGAGACGCCAGCAGAAATGGCCAAACAGGTAGTGAAACAGGAAACAAAGAAGTAAGGTAACGAGGACGGCCAACAGAAAATCGGAAAAAAACATTGATGAGAGTTACCAACGTTGCTAAACTGGAGTTCATCCTTGATATTGAAATAATAGCATCGGATAGAACTGAATGACAGAATAGACTGCAAGCTCTGTGTGACGTATAGTGGCATACCAAGATGATAACGATGATGAAAATGTATGTGTGTACGTCTGTCTGTCTGTCTGTCTGTCTGTCTGTCTGTATGTCTGTCTGTCTGTCTGTTTGTTTGTCTGTCTGTCTGTCTGTCTGTCTGTCTGTCTGTCTGTCTGTCTGTCTGTCTGTCTGTCTGTTTGTCTGTCTGTCTGTCTGTCTGTTTGTCTGTCTGACTGTCTGTTTGTCTGTCTGTCTGTCTGTCTGTCTGTCTGTCTGTCTGTCTGTCTGTTGTTGTATGTATGTATGTATGTATGGTGTGTGTGTGTGTGTGTGTGTATGTATGTATGTATGTATGTATGTATGTATGTATGTATGTATGTATGTATGTATGATGTATGTATGTATGTATGTATGTATGTATGTATGTATGTATGTATGTATGTATGTATGTATGTATGTATGTATGTATGTATGTATGTATGTATGTATGTATGTATGTATGTATGTATGTATGTATGTATGTATGTATGTATGTATGTATGTATGTATGTATGTATGTATGTATGTATGTATGTATGTATGTATGTATGTATGTATGTATGTATGTATGTATGTATGTATGTATGTATGTATGTATGTATGTATGTATGTATGTATGTATGTATGTATGTATGTATGTATGTATGTATGTATGTATGTATGTATGTATGTATGTATGTATGTATGTATGTATGTATGTATGTATGTATGTATGTATGTATGTATGTATGTATGTATGTATGTATGTAGTATGTATGTATGTTATGTATGTATGTATGTATGTATGTATGTATGTATGTATGTATGTATGTATGTATGTATGTATGTATGTATGTATGTATGTATGTATGTATGTATGTATGTATGTATGTATGTATGTATGTATGTATGTATGTACGTATGTATGTATGTCTGTATGTATGTATGTCTGTAGTATGTATGTATGTATGTCTGTATGTATGTGTGTATGTGTGTGTGTGTGTATGTGTGTATGTGTATGTATGTATGTATGTGTGTGTGTGTGTGTGTGTGTGTGTGTGTGTGTGTGGTGTCTGTGTGTGTGTGGTGTGTGTGTGTGTGTGTGTGTGTGTGTGTGTGTGTGTGTGTGTGTGTATGGTGTGTGTGTGTGTGTGTGTGTATGTGTGTGTGTGTGTGTGTGTGTGTATGTGTGTGTGTGTGTGTGTGTGTGTGTGTGTGTGTGTGTGTGTGTGTGTGTACGTGTGTGTGTGTGTGTGTGTGTGTGTGTGTGTGTGTGTGTGTGTGTGTGTGTGTGTGTGTGTGTGTGTGTGTGTGTGTGTGTGTGTGTGTGTGTGTGTGTTGTGTGTGTATGTATGTATGTACGTATGTATTTGAAAAAGGTTTAAAGTGTTATCAAGAGGCTGCCCTATGAGAAAATGGACTAATGACATTACAGAGTTTCTTCATCGAAACGGAATAAAACTGTCAGTGCTACCCATGAAGCAATGGATCGCAAAAGCTTTCTTCCCACAACGCTTCATACGAGTCTGAAGAAATCAACACGCATGTTTGTGGGACACGCCAGTACCAACCAACCAGTCAGGTATTTCGACATGAAGGAGATATAATTATTATGAACAGGTCAGACTGTAAAAATATGTCCGCCCAGAAAGTGGAAGCTTAAGTCGTTCAACCGAAATAGGAAAAGGCTGACGGGTGGAGGAAGGGGAGACGGAAGAGGAGATTTCCGCTGATATTGGGACATTTGTCTTGATGGGTGGTGTGAGGAAATATTCGCCGGTCAGGTTGTCTCACGGTCCCGGCTCAGAAGTTATGTTGTATTGTGACGAAATAGAAAATGTCACGCATGAAGGCTCTGAGATAAGAGAAATACAGTCGGGCGTCGGGTGGGACTGTGGGCAACTAGGTGGGGGTGATGTAAGGGCGATGGCGGCAGCTGGTTGGGGTGGGAGTAAGGGTCTAGGGGTCGTTGATAGTGTAGCTAAGTGAGGAACATGGAGTGGTATTTAGGAGGCAGGGGAACTTGGGGATGTGTTAGTAGAATCTGTTAAGCCTTCTTATCTAGAACCACATACTGAAAACCTCAAAGAATATATTTTGTTTATTGACTAATTTTCCATAATTAACATGTACTTTAACACTAGCTTTTATAATGTGCTTTGTAGCATCTCACGAACAGGGATTTTGTCTAATAGTCGTTCTTCTGTATGTATTCTTCTTATGTATCTTGTATGTTCTTCTTATTCTTCTGTCTTCTTCTTCTGTCTTCTTCTTCTTCTTCTTCTGTCTTCTTCTATCTTCTATGTTCTTCTTCTTGTTCTTATTCTTCTTCTTCTTCTTCTTGTATGTTCTTGTTCTTCTTCTTCTATGTTCTTCTTATTCTTGTTCTTCTTCTTCTATCTTCTTCTTCTTCTTATTTCTTCTTCTGTCTTCTTTTGAAAATGTTTTCTTCTTCTTCTTCTTCTTCTTGACATTCTTCTTCTTCTTCTTCTTCTTCTTCTGTTCTTCATGAAGCAATCTTCTTCTTCCTTCTTCTTCTTCTTCTTCTTCTGCTTCTTGGGCTTTCACTAGTTCTGCTGCAAACTTTGTCAGAAAGTCCCGGCTGTTTATCCACTTCTCGGTTGTTGCCCTGTCTTGGGACTTGAGTGTTGCGTGCACATCCGTTTTACAAATCTGACTTATTTTTGTGCAGAGCGTTGGTTCCTCCCCTCTCTAGCAGAAGCACTCTGAATTCAAAAGAAATGTCAGTCCTATCTCAAATGTCCAGGTTTTCGGTTGGACACATATTTCAAGGATGACCGCTGAGAGGTGTGGGCACGGCTTTACCACTGGGAACCTGGTGTGTATTTAGCACCACTGAACTTGGGGATGTGTTAGTGTAGTTAGAACCCCTCTGCAAACCTCAATCTATATGGTCTTCTTTACTGTCTAATTGTCCATGAAACATGACTTCAACACTTTTTGATAATGGCTTCGAAGTAAAAAAGTCAGTTATCTAAAAGGACTTATGTTTAGGGCCCTGGTATATTCGTGAACTGTTTTCATTTGTCTGTCGTTGGTCGACACACACATTTGAATTCTCAAATAAAAAGAGGGTCAGAAGTCCTCCTCTTGTTTCTTCTTGGAATGCTTGTTCTTTCCGTTTTTGAAGCCCCCCCCCCCCCACCCCACCCTGGCTTCTGCCGGGGACCCTGAATATAGCTGGGCCGTAAATATGGCCTAGGCCATAGATGTGGCCACAACCGCTGAAAGGGGTTTCTGGGACCTCTTCACGGGTGATCACCATCCGCATAGTGGCACTTTGTGTCACCGGGTGTTTATCGCGTGTGCGATATCCTGGTGGGGTACAACTATCTACCTACCAACAAGGTGTGAATCCTTGAGGCGTCAAAATTGTATACATAAAATAGACAATGTATTGATTGGCACTCATAGAAAGAAGCTTGTTATTTTACCCTTGCTTTGTAATATAAATGTATGTAACCTGTGGTGCCATTTCAATGGTTTGAGATTAATTCTGTCAATATTCCATAGATGTGGATTATAAGCTGTACGATAGACATGGCCAATGAAGACCACTTTAATGGGTGCCTAGTTGGTTATGTTCTTAGAACACTTGTTCCCATAGCGAGGCGCACACCCCATTTGGAAGTGACCTGTTTGATTCCCGGTACGGTACTATAGCTTCCGATTTTTACGTTATCTAGTTAGTCCTTCTATCTCTCTACTTCTTTCAATGAGTGCCAATCAATACATTGTCTGTTTATTTTATATATAAAACTTTAATTCTAAAAACGCCTTTGTTTGACGTATATGCTCAAAGTTAACCAAATTAAAACGCAAATTATAAATACACCCACACAAAGGAAGGGAATTTCCCACCTTTGATGAACCATTCATTAGGTGGGGAAAATGTCCGCCCTCGCACGAAAGATACATGAATGAAATGCAATTTCTCAATGGAACGTGGGAACGAGAGACAGTAAATGAATGAATGAAGCCATATGTATCCGTATTGATTTTTCCCGATTGTTTGAGACGGATGACGTAATCGATAACAGTGCAT